TTCTAAAAGTTCGGATTTTGTGCTCCGATGCTCTGTCACTTGCCGGGAGCCAGCTGATGTAGGCTCCCTCCTCGCCACGGTCTGTCTTCCTGTATATCACCTTGGATTCGCTTCTCTGCAGGTCCTGCCTTCCAGAAAATGGTTGCATTTGTGTTCAAAGAATTGCTGCTATTCTTCGATCTCCTGTTGAGTTTGTAGGTGTTCAGAATGGTTTAGTAACCGTCTAGCTGAATTCCTGGACCATACGATATTTAGGTTTCTTACTCTCCACCATCTTGGTCCTCCCCCTACATTTAATGCTTTTTAATGGGAATTCTAGTTTATATGATATCAAGATCACTACCCCTACTTTGTTATGATTTCTAATTTTTTCTGAATCATTTTAAGTGCATCTTTTATATAAAGCATAGAGTTTGGTTTGTTTAGTAAGCAAATTTGAAAATGTTTTCTTTGGTAGTTAAGCTCATTTGTATTGATTGATATGATTAATGTGTTTAATCTCAATAATACTGTCTTACTATAATTGTTACACATGTTTTATATTTAATGTATTTCTCTAAGTGATAAGTCTTTCACTCTTTAAAAAACTTCTCTTGGTATGTAAAAAGGCAACTCTTTTGTTCTAAGGGTTTCTTTTGTATTTAGGCATTTTATAGTACTCTGAGCCCCCCTTTATTTTCTTACTTGACCTTTTACTACCCAATTTGTTACTTTTAAATTGTATTCTTTAGTAGTCAACTTATTACCTAGGCAATAGTCAATGAACTTATTTATTCTACTTTGCGCTTTCCTTCCCTCATTTAAACTTTTTTAAAAAGATTTTATTTGTGTGAGAGAAAGAGAGCGAGTGAGCACACACGCACAAGCAGGGGAAGCGGCAGGCAGAGCAGGCGGAGGGGAGAAGCAGACTCTCTGCTGAGGAAGGACTCAATCCCAGGACCCTGGGATCATGACCTAAGCTGTAGGCAGACGTTTAACCAACTGACCAACCTAGGCATCCCTCTTTCCCTTATTTAAAAAAACTTCATTCTTTCTACTTATTACACCATATAATGTGTCCATATATTATCCTTTAACTCTATCCCACCTACATTAGACTTAGATCTATAGTTAAATATATTAAAGTCTCATCATCATTTTGCTGAAGTTTTCCCAGTCTTTTCTTAGTTGGATGAACTTCTCTAGTGTAATGTAATCAGCAGAACTTTCCGTGACAATGGACATGTTCTAAATCTGCATTGCCCAATAGGGTAGCCACAAGCCTCCAATGAGTATTGAGCGCCTGAGATGTGTCTAGTGCGACACAGAAATTGAATTTTACATTTTATCTAATTTTAATTAATTTAAATTTAAATTGCCACATGTGGCTAGTAGCTACTAAATTAGTACAGTGCCCACAGATTCATGAGGAAGGAGTCATGTATATAATAGTCAGTGAGACTTGCATGTTTAAAAATGTTTTTCTAGGGTGCCTGGGTGGCTCAGTGGGTTAAGCCGCTGCCTTCGGCTCAGGTCATGATCTCAGGGTTCTGGGATCGAGTCCCGCATCGGGCTCTCTGCTCGGCAGGGAGCCTGCTTCTCTCTCTCTCTCTCTCTCTCTCTCTGCCTGCCTCTCTGTCTACTTGTGATCTCTCTCTCTGTCAAATAAATAAATAAAATCTTTAAAAAAAAAAGTCTTTCTATACCTTGGATATCTGAAAACAACTTGATTAGAATTGAAAATGTGTGGCTGACACTAAAAATGCTATTCCACTATTCCCTTCTTTTTGTTGCTGATGAGGTGTAATGCTGGCCTAACTTATTTGCCTTAGTCAGTAAGGGGCCCTTGTTCACTAGAGCTTTAAGGACTTTTTTTCGTTTTTAAAATCCAGTAGTTTTACAAGGCTATGTTTCAGAGTTAATCATTCCAAGACAGTTTTAGGAGGCAAAAATTGACCTTTCAATACGGATTCATTTTTTTCTTCTTTTGTTTCTAAAGTTTCTTGAATTATAATTTTTTTTTTAAAGATTTTATTTATTTATGAGAGAGAGAGAGAGAGAGAGAGAGAGCGAGCACAGGCAGACAGAATGGCAGGCAGAGGCAGAGGGAGAAGCAGGTTCCCTGCAGAGCAAGGAGCCCGATGTGGGACTCGATCCCAGGACGCTGGGATCATAACCTGAGCCGAAGGCAGCTGCTTAACCAACTGAGCCACCCAGGCGTCCCTTGAATTATAATTTTAAATGTAAGTTCTATTTCACTGTTTTGTTTTTCTTCTCCAGGGACTCCAGTGATATATTTATGAAGTCTTCTCTGCCTCTCTTCCATTTCAATCACTTTCTCTCTGGCCCTTTTCATCATCTAATTTTCATTCTTTTGCTTACTTCTCTGTCTTCTTAAGTAGCCCTTATTAAATAGTCAACACATTGTAATTCAGCTTCAATATTTTTCCTAAGTTTAATCAATTCTAGTTTTATTTCTTTTAGAAGAGGGTGTTATTTATTTCTGAATTTTTTATTCATTTCTTTGAGGCTAGTTAATTCAGCTTGGAGTTTTATGCTATAGTTTCCCTCTGCTTTGTAATTAGTTGCTGGGGAAAAATGCCCATGAGCCCAAAAATCTTGACTTGCATTTTCTATTTTCTTTTTACAGTAATTTTATATGGATGTAGACTGCTTCTTTTGGTCCCTATGGAGGAAAGAGTCAAGATTGGGGGGGGCCTAAAAATTCCTAGCTCAAGACTGCTCCCTTCTGTCAGAATAGTGAGGTTCAGTGCCCTCTTTCATATATACTTACTTACTTGGGCAATATAGGGAGTGAAGGAGGAAGGGTCTGATTAGCTCATCTGTTTCCACAGGATCTTAATTCCTTCCCCTAGTTTCCTTCTTTCCCTTCACTGACATATCTCCAAAGGGTCGCTCCCTCTTTCTTTCTTTAAATACTTTTTTTTTTTTTTTTTTTAAGAGAGAAGGAAAGAGAGAATCGCAAGCAGGCTCCACATTCAGCACAGATCCTGATGCAGGGCTCAAATCCCAAGACCCTGAGATCATAACCTGAGCCAAAATCAAGAGTCAGAAACTTAACCAAGTGAGCCACCCAGGCACCCCAGTCCTATCCCCTTTTTATATATCTCTTTCCCAGAAGTAGTACCTTTCTAAAACATGCTACCTTAGGTCTTACACATTTTAAAGTCTTTACCTTTAGCCTTTGTAATCTACCAGATCTCAGACTACTTTCAGAAATTTTGCATTTAGTGTGCAGATTTTTTTTTCAGACTTTGGTTCTTAACCCCTCTCCTCTTTTTCACGCAGTTTTTCAAACTTCCCCAACTCTAAAGCATCAAAGATAATTCTATTGGAAATTGGTGTTTTTACTTATTTAAAAATGATCTGAAGTTCACAGTATTGAATAAGTGTGGTACTATGAACTTTCTTTCTTAATCTGTGTGGTTTTCTGGGAGGATGAGTAGACAAATTCTAATTTAGGATGACACTATTATCCTAGGCAACCAGGAAGTCCCACAAATCTTTTTATTCTTATTGTTATTACTGATTGTGACCTGTCAGTATTTTATAAACATTCTTAAAACATCCCTGTAAATAGGGGCACCTAGGTAGTGCAGTCGGTTAAGCCTCCAACTCTTGGTTTCGGCTCAGAGCCTGATCATGATCTCAGAGTCCTGAGATCAACCCCGAGTCAGTCTCCATGCTCAGTGTGGAGTGTGCATTAGAATCCCTCTCCCTCTGTCCCTACCCATCTATACTCTAAAAATAAATAAATAAATCTTTGTAAAAATATCCCAGGAAATAAAGCAAAGAGCTAAGTTTGTGAACAAGTCTTCCTTTTGAAGTAACTTTCTTAAAACAAATAACTTTTTTTTTAAGATTTTATTTACTTATTTGACAGACAGAGATCACAAGTAGGCAGAGAGGCAGGCAGATAGAGAGGAAGGGAAGCAGGCTCCCTACTGAGGAGAGAGCCCGATGCGGGGCTCGATCCCAGGATCCTGGGATCATGACCTGAGCCGAAGGCAGAGGCTTTAACCCACTGAGCCACCCAGGTGCCCCAAAACAAACAACTTTCTTAAAATATCATGCATATGAGAAATGGATTCTGAAACTGAAGTCTCTCACATCCAATGATTAATTACAGTAGAATCTGATATGACACATTATAGTTTATTGATCTGTAGTAATTAAAAGTCCTTTCTACCTGTGTATAAATAATACTTTGGGTTAAAACAAGAAATTGTGTTTAGAAGATTATATATAAAAGAAACAAACTAGAATCAACTCTGTTATTTTTCCTGTTATGATGATAATGCAAGAACATGACATAGAGATTTTCCCATCTTAGGCTCTGATAAAGTTCATTCACCCATCCATCCAACACTTACTGAATACCACTAAATTGCCAGTCAATAGGGATACAAAGATAACCAAGACACAGTCCCTGCCCCACAGACAAGGTAGAGGAATATGAATAAGTTGCAAAAGGTTAGTTACAGTACAATACCTTTTAAATAGTTTGAAAATATGCAAACCATATTATATATACTTTAAAGTATACATATATATGTAGAATAAACACAAAAACACCTGAGAAAATGATAAGCAAATTAAGTGTAGAGATTAACTCTAGGAGGATGAGCTGGGAGGATGAAGGGAATAAAACCAGTCAGGAATACAAACATAGGTTCAATTTTATCTAGTAGTTTATTTCCTTAAAAAAGAAAAAAATCTGAAACAAATATCACAAAGTACTAACATCTGACAAAGCTGAGTGGTAAGACACATGGGTATATTTGTATTATCTCTATTCTTTTCTGTATGCTTGAAATATTCTGATTTTTTAAAAACTATATTCAAAATGCAGTTCAATGTACTGGAGTTTTAAATCAGAAGTTTCAGAATATGTTCAAGTTGTGTAGTAACACAAAATTAAGAACCAATTTTAAGTATGAATGAGAAAAATAATCCATCTGAATACTATACATCATTTTTAGATGAAGTGTTACACATACCTGTGAGTGCTAAATAAGAAGCAATGTACCGCTTTTCCAGTCCATCTCTAACACTCTGAATTGCACCAAAAATTGGAGGTATAATCATAATCAGGTTACTCACTGTATTCCCTACAGGAGAACACAAGAAAATAATTATATTAGTCAATACCACTTTAAATAAAAATACATGAACTTGGCCCTTAATAAAAGTTAAATAGGTGACTTCTGAGAAAGATGGTGGAAACATATTTACAAGGAAAATAATTCTCTACTCAAAATAAATACTGTAAAATGATCCAAATAGGGGCACCTTGGTGGCTCCACTGACTAAGTGATTGCCTTCAGCATGGGCCATGACCCTGGAGTCCTAGGACTGAGTCCCATGTTAGACTCCCTCCTCAGTGGGAAATCTGCTTCTACCTCTAACCCTCCCCCCTCTCCTGCACTCTCTCTCATTCTCTCTCTCTCAAACAAAATCTTAAAAAAAAAAAAAATCCAATTAAAATAAAGGTAACTTTTGACAAGTAAAACTAAGATTTTTCTTTTTTTTTCAGATTTTTCTTTTTTCAGAGATTTTATTTATTTATTTGTCAGAGTTAGAGAGAGAGAATGAGCAAGCACAAATGGGGGAGAGCAGGAGAAGTATGCTCCCCACTGAGCAAGGAGCCCCTTGTAGAACTCTATCCCACCACCCAGGGATCATGACCTGAGCCGAAGGTAGATGTTTAACAGAGCCACCCACATGTCCCCAAAACTAAGATTTTTCAATCAGAATAGTCACTAAAGAAAATTCCTTTTTTTTTTTTTTAGATTTTATTTATTTATTTGACAGAGAGAGAGAAAGCACAAGACAGAACAAGCAGGGGAAGCTACAGAGGGAGAAGCAGGCTCCCTGCTGAGCAGGGAGTCCAATACAGGGTTTGATCCCAGGACCCCAGGATCATACCCTGAGCCAAAGGCTGATGCTTCCTCAACTGAGCCACCCGGGTGCTAATTCTAAAGATAAAAAGAAGTATCTCAAAAAGAACCCCAAAGATTCAGCAGAAAATGAGTTGGAAAAGGTAGGTATTGAGACTGAAAGAACGGTTCACAGATAGACTAATGACAAGATAAAATACAGAATTGTGTCTACTAAATCAAATAGCAACAAATTGGGGTATGCATTTTGTATGTCTTTTTGAAATTTCAATTTATGGTAATATATTTAATTTCTTGTTTCTAACAATGTCTCTTCATCTGATTTTTGTTCCTATCTTTACAAACCAGAAACAAACCTCAAACATGAAAAGCAAAGAAATAATAAACACCCCAAAGCAGAAATAAGTAGTAAAAGGGGGAAAGAAATGGATAAACTATTTTATAAGTTGATTCTGGGTAGAATAAAGTGGAACAAAGCATTCAAAATTTGAAATGAGTAATTTTCAACACAGGAGCTTATAACAAATATCAATCAATGGACATATACAGAACACTCTACTGTATAGTATATACATTCTTCTCAAATACACATGGAACATTTGGACAGACCATATGTTAGACTACAAATTCTCAACAGACTTGAAAAGATAGATAACATACAAAATACTTCCTCCAACCACAACAAAATGAAGTTAAAAATAACCAAACAAAAATTCACAAGTCTGTGGAAATTAAATGACATATTCTTTTCTTTCCTATATTTTGGGGGGCTATTTGCCATCCCAATATCACTCTCCTTTTTTTCTTAATAAAAGAACCCCAATTTTTTCTTCTAGGAGTTTTAGGATTCCAGTTTTTACATTTACGTCTTTAATCCATTTTGAGCTTACTTTTGTGTATGATACAAGAAAGTGGTCCAGTTTCATTTCTTTGCATGTAGCTATTCAGTTTTCCCAGCACGATTTATGAAGGGGTTGTCTTTTTCCCATTTTTTTAAAAGATTTTCTTTATTTACTTGACAAACGGAGATCACAAGTAGGCAGAGAGGCAGGCAGAGAGGCAGGCAGAGAGAGAGAGAGAGAGAGAGGAGGAAGCAGGCTCCCCACTGAGCAGAGAGCCTGATGTGGGGCTTGATCCCAGGACCCTAAGATCATGACCTGAGCCGAAGGCAGAGGCTTAACCCACTGAGCCACCCAGGCACCCCTCTTTTTCCCATTATGTATTCTTGCCCCCCCCGTTGGAGATTGGTTGACCATATAAGCATGGGTTTCTTTCTGGGCTCCCTATTCTGTTCCATTGATCAATGTGTCTGTTTTTGTGCCAGCACCATACACTGTTTTGATAAAACACCATATTCTTGAACAACCGATCAAAGAAGAAATCAAAAGAGAAAAGTAGAAAATACTCAGAGATGAATTAAAATAAACACAACATACCAAAATTCAAGGGATGAAACAACAGCCGCACTAAGGCAAAATTTATAGCTATAAACGTTTACATTAGAAAACAAGATCAGGTGGTGCCTGGGTGGTTCAACCAGTAAAGTGACTGCCTTAGGAACACGCCATGCATTGGGCTCCTTGCTCAGCGGGCAGCCTGCTTCTCCCTCTGTCCCTCTCCAAACTGGGCTCTCTCTCTCTCTCAAATAAATAAAATCTAAAAAAACAACAACGAAACAACCCCCACAAGATCAGGGCACCTAGGTGGCTCAGTGAGTTAAGTGACCAACTCTTGATTTTGGCTCAGGTCATTATCTCAGGGTCATGAGATCAAGCCAAGCACTGGGCTCCATGCTGAGCATGGAGCCTGCCTGGGATTCTCTCTCTCTCTCTTTCTCACCCTCTGTCCCTCCCCCTCTCCCACTCGTATTCTCTCAATCTCTAAAAACAAAAAAATTAAAAAACCATGAAGGACAATCTCCAGCTGAAATGAAATAATGCTAACTAGTAACGTGAATATATATAAAAATAAACAACACACTGGTGAAGGTAAGCATATGGTCCAAGTCTGAATACCAAAACACCGTAATACGCTGGTATATTAATCACTTACCTCTATCACTTATAAAGGTAAAAGGACAAAAGTAATAAAAATAACTACAGTTGCAAAAAAAACCCACAAAACTATAGCTGTAAATCACATATCCAATAAAGTGTTAGTATCCAAAATATAGAAGGGACTGATACAAAACCCAAGAAACCAAATAATCCAATTTAAAAATCGGCAGAAAATATGAACAGACACTTCGCCAAGAGACATGCAGATGGCCAACAGACACATGAAAAGATGCTCAACATCCTTCATTGTCAGGGAAATGCAAATCAAAACCGCAATGAGGTATCACCTCCCACCTGTCAGAATGGCTAAAATCAACACAGGAAACAACAGGTGTTGGCAAAGATGTGCAGGAAAAGGAACCTTCATGCACTGCTGGTGGGAATGCAAACTAGTGCAGCCACTGTGGAAAATAGTATGGAGCATCCTCAGAAAGTTAAAAATAAAACTACCTTAAAATCTAGTAATCGCACTACTGGGTATTTACCCAAATAATATGAAAACACTGGGGTACCTGGGCAGCTCAGGTGGTTAAGCGGCTGCCTTCAACTCAGGTCATGATCCCAGAGTCTTGGGATGGAGCCCGAATCTGGCTCCCTGCTGCTTCTCCCTCTCCCTCTGCCTACTGCTCCCCCTGCATGTGCTCTCTCTCTCTGTCAAATAAATAAATATAAAACACTTATAATATTTTCTATTTATAATAGCAATAAAATATTAATATAAAATAGTAACATTAAAATTATAAAATATTTATAATATTATAAAATAGTAAAATAATGATAAAAATTTTGAAAGAATGTGAAAACACTAATTTGAAGGGATATATGCACACCATGCTTATTATAGCATAATTAACAATAGCCAAATTCTGGCAGCAGCCCAAGTTTCCATCCATAGATGAAGGGATAAAGAAGATGTAGCATATGTATACACAATGGAGTATTTTTCAGCCATAACAAAGAATGAAATCTTGCCATTTAGAACAACATGGATGGATCTACAGTATAATGCTAAGCCAAATAAGCCAGTCAGAGAAAGACAAATACCATATGATTTCACTCATATGTGGAATTTAAGAAACAAAACAAATTAGCAAAGGAAAAAAAAGAGAGCGAGAGAAACCATGAAACAGATCCCTAACAATAGAAAACAAACTGATGGTTACCAGAGGGGAGGTGGGGGAGGAATGGGTTAAACAGGGGATGGGGATTAAGAATGTACTTATCAGGGACGCCTGGGTGGCTCAGTTGGTTAAGCGGCTGCCTTCGGCTCAGGTCATGATCCCAGCGTCCTGGGATCAAGTCCCACATCGGGCTCCTTTCTCCTCAGGGAGCCTGCTTCTCCCTCTGCCACTCTGTCTGCCTGTGCCCTCTCTCTCTCTCTCTGACAAATAAATAAATAAAATCTTTAAAAAAAAAAAGAATGTACTTATCATAAAGGGCACTGAGTAATGTATAGAATTGTTAAATCACTACAATGTACACCTGGAACTAATATAACATTGTATGTTAGCCATTCTGGAATTTAAAACAAAACAAAAAAACTATAACTATAATAATTTATTAATGAATAGACAACAAAAAAAGAGGTAAACTTATATCAAAAACTTACAAGGAAGAGAATAAATGGGTAGAGTTTTAGCAAGCAAAGTTGTTACCAGCAGAAAAAAAGGCTGTTACATCTATAAGTTGTCTTAGGTAAGCCTCAGGGTAACCACAAAGCAAAAACCTACAGAAAAATAAAGAGGAGGGAATCAAAGCATGTAAGTACAAAAAATCATCAATTCACAAAATAAAGAAGCGGGGCGCCTGGGTGACTCAGTGAGTTAAATCCTCTGCCTTCTGCTCAGGTCATGATCCCAGGATCCTGGGATCAAGCCCCGCATTGACTGCTGCCTTCCTCTCTCCCTCTGCCTGCCTCTCTGCCTACTTGTGATCTCTGTCTGTCAAGTAAGTAAATAAAATCTTTAAAAACAAACAAAAACAAAATAAGGCAGCAAGAGGAGAGGAAGAAAGGAATAAGGGAACTATGTAACAGCTAGAAAACAAAAAGATGGCATTAGTATGTCCTTAACTATCAATAAGTACTCTAAATGTAAATATAAGTTACCTTAAAAATAAATTATCTAAATCTAAATGTAAATTATCTAAATCGAA